AATTTGTATTTCCGTATATACAAATAGATAGTCCACATTCTGTTTATAACATAAATAGTATACTATGTGTCTATAGACACGTGTGTGTTTTTGTTATTCTCATTTTAAATGAGATATGCAAAAGAAGCCAATGTCCGTTATGTACAAGACACTTCATATTTTCTTAACATAGTGTGCAGACTATTACTCGATTTAACAAATAAAACTCGAATTTTTTGCAGTTTATATCTGGTTTTTTCACTTTTTCACAAAATAAGTAATGTACAAAGTAAGTACACAGCAATTTCATCGACCAAAAGACCATAGAAACAAATCCTTTCCACTTTTGTTGTCACAAAGTTGAAATCGTTTTATTTAACTATTTTGAATACCAAAACGGGGTGCTCTTTTTCACAAAATGTGTGAAATCTATGGACTTCTACTATGTACAACTTCGTTAATATCACAAGATCTCAAAATGAAAATGCACAAAGGTTGGTGTCATCGCAATCGTGAGTGTCCTCGGTGTAAGATCGTTTTGTCGTTGGTCACTTTCAGGATGTAGCGAGTATCAGTTCGGTCCTGTTTGACACACAGAGAATTGGGGCTAAGTCATTCCGCCTCATTCACAGGATGCTAGATTGGCTCTAGCAACGGACCGATATTAGCGTCTAGTATTCAGGGATACGCATTCTCTGAGAGTCCAAGCGTGAATGTTTTCTTCACGTACGGCAAACATTACCTTATTGGTAAGGCTCACGTTAGAAGCATAAGATATCAGCCTTTCTCACCTTTATTTTGATACTAGATTCTGAATCATAGGCAGAAAACTTCATCCGAGATGAAAATTTCTTTCACTAAAGGTATCACAGCTCACTATTCACTTTTTAGAAATAGAGTAAAGAAGATAGTTTACCATCGCGACAGAGATACGCCGCAAGGATTTAAACGAGGGACTAGACCTTCAAGATTGCTGTGTACCTCCTTTGAATCCGTATAAGTTCTTCAGTAAGAATGTCTTTTACTATTTTAGATAGAAATTGTGGAGTACTGAAGGCAAAGTAGGATTGATGTAAACTTCAAAAAGTGGTGATCGTATCATGTTCTCGACGAAAAGTCCGAGTAAAACATGATGCAACGATAGCCAGAGAGGTAATAATATGAGAAACTCATTCTAATTTTTTTATGAAAGAAAAACATACTTGATGACGTTTGATCCAGTTATAACAATAAAAGGGTTCACAATGCATGATATTTTACATTTGATGAATATCTTTACAATCATACATTCGGTATCAATGAATGCTTAGCTATTACGAAACTAGCTCTGGTTATTGAACAGAAATGGACCTGCGAAGAAGTGAAGAATTACATCGAGTACAATGAAGATGATCATAATGTAACTAATCAAGATTCTTCATTATCGTTATTCATTTGATGTTTCATTTTCTTGTAAAAAGAATGAGATGATTTCATCCCAATGAACACATCAGTTGAATAAACATTCTCACCTATTTGCTCACTTTTTGTGTTAATTTAGTATGCACCGATGAGTATTGTTTACTTCTTTTTCTATTCTAGATACGTAGCCCTGAAGAGTACTATCTTCTCAAAGATACGAAACGCGTCGGCGAATTGAACTCTGCACTCTTTGATTAAATACAAACACAAGTCACATCGAGATAATTTATTTCCACTGAGAAATCGATTGCTAAATAAGCAAGAGTTGAGATCCAGCAGATTGGTTTGTATTTTCGACATACAGGTCAGTCTGTTCTTTCAATAGTTTCATCCTCACCATCACCCTTCGTAGAGACACCGACGGCTGACTACGAGCTACGTTCAATGAATAACGTTAAAGAGTTTTCTTACGGAACTAATGATTTCAGCTATTCTATAAAATAGTTGTCAATGGAAGCATTATCGATTTTTTGCGACATGCCCGTTTGATTCACATGAACCTGAAACACAACGTTTACAGAGGAGATAGAACGGTCAGATCATACTCAGTCGAGGGTCAAGCGAGTCCAGAGGGTGACGAGCGTTATTCTTTTATGTTTCATTAATAAAATCTCTTGTACTCCTTTTTTAAAAATTCTGTTGTTGTTTATTTAGATATGAAACCCGTAGAGATACTTGCAAGCGATTTTCCTCAAAGAAATAGTTTCTGAATATTATATCAATCAATAATATTCAAAACGACAACGAAAATAACCATACATTTCAGTAATAGTGTGTCGTGTAAGCCAGTATGGTGTTATGTTACATTCTTCTGCAAAATCATCTATTGCTTGGTAGAAATCAGCATTATAAGCGCCACCCCGACATGATAAGTAAAATTTGATCAATTTTGGACATTGGATTGATAGTAATAATTCCCATTTTTTCGCATTAGGTATATGATACCAACCCGACAAAAATAGTTCTTTTAAATTCGGTGTTTGTTGTAGCAGATATTCGATTTGTTCAAACATTATAACATTAACTGATCGTAGATTTAGCTGAATACACTTAGGAAGCATTAGGCCTGTAGTTAAGATCTGTGGCTCCCGTGGATCAGGTTGATCGTCAGCGTATAACTTATAGTCAATACAGCATGTTTGAAGATTTGCTAGAGCAGGAAATAATTTTATTAAATCATTAAAAGTCAACGAGTCAATGAATAGACGTTTAAGATTTGTTGATCTACTTGTTCTTATCAATAAAGGAATTGTAGGTATTTGTTTTTGTCTCCCACAAGTGCTTATGATAAGAGATTCTAATAATGGACAATAGTCTTTATTGAATATTGAACGTATAATATATTCCTTTTCCTGAATACAATTATTCGGTCCGGTAATACCCCAGAATTTAATTTCTAATCGGCGTAGATTTTTCAAAGACGATAGTTGATTCCAGAATCGAAATAATTTATCATTAAAAGAATATTTTAATGTTAATGATAGTAAACGAAGTTGTGTGAATGAACTGAGCGAATAAATCAAGAAAAAATGTTTGATTTCATTAGTTCTTCGTAATTTTAAGGATCGAACGTTAGCAATATTCTTAACTGATAATAAAATATTTTTTTCGAAATAACTATAATCATCTCCATTCTTAAAATCTATATGTAAGATTATTTGATCCATAATCGCATCAATTCTACTATTCAAACCACGAAATGAGTACCATAAATCATGGAAATTGAAATATTCAAAGATTTCTTGCCAGAGCTCTACACACAACAGCTCAATTACACTAAGAAGGATGTCTGACATTATCTAACTAAAATATACATAAACGAAAAATATTATTTTACTACTTACAATCGAAATGAGTGCAGTAAAATGACAGGTATTGTGCTATTGCATCTTATGGTGCAATTCCATGATTGAAAAAACAAATTTTTTCACAACTCGTATTCGAAATAGCATGTATACAGACGGCGAAGCACCTTCAATCGGGGTATAGAACTGCGTGAGTCATCCGGAAAAGAGGAAAGCAAAACTATTTCTACATAATAGATGGTGTAATGTTAGCTAACGGCATCTGGGATGCGTTCTAAAAGTTTTAATTGAAATAACGGAATCCTCCTCTCATCCTGGAGAAGGTCGAGGGCTACTTTTTTCCCAAAAATTATAAGTCATCATAGGTTTTCGAGAGTGGTGAGTCCAAATCTGGGGTCCATTCGGCTGAAATTCTATTGGTTGACTTAGAACCAATAGGAATTCATCTTCTGAGAAATCACTGAATCTCAATTGGATTGTTGCGGCAACAGTCCGAAGAGTTTTTTAGAGTCGGGGAGGTCGAATTTAACGTAAGTTTGTCTCTAAATCTGGCGAGTAACAGCCAACCAACAGAAATTAATTTTTGTGAGCACCAGTCAGCAGAAATCAAGTTTTGGGCGAAAAACTCACTGGATGGTTGGTACAAGAGCAGCATAAATCTGAAGCCTGTCGAGCTCGAAAGACAACCGGATTGTCTGTGATCCTACTGGATGACCCGTACCAAGTACAAATCGAACTTTGGGGAAAGTGCTGTTTCAAAAGAATGAAAGCATTTGTTTGATGACTAATTCCAGATCGTCGATTGAATGATGAACCGAGAGTGACGTAACCGCGTATCACACTTATTGTGTAGAAAGCGAATGCTATCTATGGAATCAAGAAGAACTGTATGAATGCAAATGCCCATCGTATGAATAATGCATCAAGGGAGGAAAAATACTATTATTTAAAATTTATTACTCTCAATGGATGAAAGATAAGAACACATCGTGTACGACACGAAAGAACCGAATATCTCTGACACATATTTGAAATGAATATACGAAAAGAAAAGTCCGGGCATACATCTTGGTGAATTTTGAACGAAAGGAAAAAACCAAACAGGCGCTATGGATGAAGTCAATCAACATGAGAGAGACCGATATATAAATCACAACGTTTGGGTGACTTCCTCACATATTTACCAAGAAGCTTTCTGTAACTCCAAGAGTTAGTTGGAGTTTGGAGATTTTTTAAAGTTCCCTTTCCTGAAAGAAAGGGTCTTCTAAACAGAAAATGTTTGTTTGTCTGTTTGTCCAACCAATCAGAAAACAGCATTTCTGAATAAACGCAGGACAGCAGATTTTCTCGCCAAAACTACATGGGGTTAGATTATCAAGGCTCGGGAATCCGATTCTGAGATCAGTTTCGCTCTAAATCCTATTGACCAGCCAGAAACCAATGAAAATTCAGTTTTCGAAAAAGTAGTCCTTCATATGTAATTCGACGTGGGGAGTTTGAATCTGATCTCCATTTGCCTTAAAATCCTATTGGTGAGCTGACAACGAATAAAAATCGACATTCGTAAAAACAGGTCTTCTCTTAGAGATAATTTCGTGCGAAGAGCTCGAATTTGAGCTTGTTTCGTCTCAGAATTCGATTAGTCAGCCACGAAACAATCAAATAAGAGTTTCATGAAAGTTGTTTTTCTCGGCTGGTTCGATGCGTAGAGCATGAATAGGAGCTGAATTTACTCTGAAATTCGTTTCTTAGTTCAAACTAATGTAAATTGAGTTTTTGACAAAGTGATGTACAAAATATAATTGGATGCTCGGAGTTTGAATCAGACATTTATCCAAGGCCACTGATGATTTATCAGTTACGATTGGCTTCAATTATCAGCATGGAAGCGATGTATAACAAACTAACATCGCAAAAGGAAAGATAAGTATCATCGAACCCATTAGAGTTACTACGCTTATTCCTGAAAGAACGAGATTTGAGCGCACTACTGTATGTCATGGCTTCACCGACTGTGGCATGCCGAACTGCGATCGTCAATACGAAAAAATGTTCAAGATAAGAAATGATCTCGCTGTCGAAGTGGAACCTGCCATACCACCCACATGAGCTTCAGCAAAATCAAGTTGTTCTCACTCCTCGTTGATTGAGTCGAACTTATTAAACCTTGTGTCAGACATTTCTCTATACGCTTGGGTATGTATATTGAAAACATTGCTGGTTGATGACAAAACGGACGTCATGTAGGGTGTTCGAACCTGATACTACGAATCGCTAATTAAAACAAGGAGAAATCAGTTAGTTGGATAAAATGAGTTTTCACAATTTTTCACCAATACGACTTCTCGGTAGTCCATAAGAGTGGAGGATTTAATTCTTCTGAAAAATCCTTCTAGTCATTTACTTTATGGTCTAATTCGCATATGCCCCGACCGAACTTCCTCAATCGCGGTCGTCTGATCTTGCTTTATCCAGGATATGTTGTAGAGGGAAGAGTTTCACGAATTATGGAATAGCTACGTCCGCTGCGTCTAAAATGTCTTACGAAAGTTTTCCTACTTTATCATTGAGCGCCAGAATAAGAAGAGAGATTTTGAAACACTAAATAACGAAAGTAGTTCCAGTCAGTAGCTTTATAGTTGAAAATTTTTCGTCGAGAAGACTTTTCTGAACATGATTTAATGATAGGACGATATGTAAAACACAATGATCACAAGAGCGAATTAATAGCGGTAACACAGAAACAGTTTTTACTAAAGAGAGATTACTGGTACCAAATAAATCTAAAATATCGTTCGATGAAGGCCTTGTAACTGCGTTTACTAACTGTGTGATGCCTAAACTATCAAAAAGATAGTATATTTTTTCGCCTTCACGTGTGGCAGGCTTAGCATGACACCACGTATAATTATGAGCATTGAAATCACCTGTAATAAAAAATCCATCATATTCCAAAATATCTATATTGAGAGAAAGAGTGTTATAAATAAAGTTACAAAAAGTTTCTAGTTCCTCAATAGAAGAATCCGGTTTATACCCTACAACCACTAAAACTTTCTTTTTATTAGTTAGTATTATTTTCAAAAATAAAACTTCTAAATCAACGTGTTCAAGACTTATTAAGCGTGTGACGACTATGTCTTGTCTCATATATACGAGACTCGAGACTATACGAGATTAAAGTTTCGGGTATCGAGTACCCCGTCTCGGTGCATCCTTAATCGTGCGATTAGCTGATTCTGTGCTTTGTTTTCTATTGCATTTCACGCAGCTTTGTTTCGTTTTCGCCTTGTTGTATTAGAATATTTGTAATAAAAAAACGAAAAACACAAGTTGTAAAATCATCGCAACCCAAGCAAAACTAAGTAAGCGAGAAAATCTAGCTGCAGAAGTAGCTGCAGCGACCACTTACAACTAGATTAACTAGATTAAAAGGTACATTTATCTAGCTGCATGCCGGTTGAAATTGTGTACTAGCTGAAACGGCCACTGCAGGGGCCAATTAATCGAGCAATGAATTGCCCGATTAATCGATAGCAACTAGTTGTACCCAATTGAAACTAGCTTCAATCTAGCTGAAGCTAGATAAAATTTTCATGTATTTCTGTGCAGCTAGCTGAAGCTAGATAAATGTACCTTTTAATCTAGATGCAGCGCCCGCTTCATGATTTTTTTTCATGCTTGGGTACAAACTAACATCTTTTTTACTCTTCTAGTAGCATTTGAGCGAAAATAACCATGCTGTTGACAATATTATGTTTAATACTTGTTTCCAGATCTCTGTCGATTTGTCCGTATAACTGTCCTTGCAGAGATGACATTACTTGTGAATATTATTGTGGAAATGGGACATGTCAGTATTTTCTATCCCCGATTCAACCATGTGCGGGATACGCTATTCATCCACGAGAATGTAACTGGGAATCGTATTGTGATCCAAATGTTGGCTTATGTGTTCAACGTCACGATTTTAACTCGCCATGTGTATTCGACTATTCATGTTCATCCAACTATTGCAACCCAAAATCAAAACGATGCGAGGACGAGAATACAGCCTTGAACCATATGGTTATGATCTGTCTCATCTCGGTTATACTTGGCACAGCTGCTCTGCTTGTCACGGTTTACTGCATTATGAGACTTGCTAAACTGTGCAGACGGTCTGGCAGACCAGCTATTCATTCTCAATTGATACCTCAAGATGAAATCGGCGATGATGATTTACTGATGAAGTACTAATTCCATACGCTGTTCATTGCACTCGAAGATATTTCTGCTGTTTTAAAATCAATAACATTACTATGTAAATTAATTCGGAGAACTTCGTCAACTATATAGACTGTATTTCGGTTATTTAAAAAGCTTTTGACTGTATTTTAAAGTTATAACCTGACGTTTCCAGCATGGTTAGACCACGGCATTTCAAAGCGAAAGATGATGATGAAATTCTGCAGTTATCGGACTATAGTTGAAGTACAATCGTCTCTTGATATTTGTTGCAGCATAGATCATATTTACCGAACGGTAAGAACTCTCAGGAATTTTTTTCAAGTCTTCTCCCACACCTTCCGTTTTGAGTGATGTATCATCTTCATAACACAACGTAACGTATACAAAGCATTATGATATACAATAGAGATACTGTCATGGTTCATACTGGAATCAGTTGACCGATTTTTTACATAACCAGCCGATTCATCCAATATTAGCGCAAAATCGACTTATTATACGGAGGACAGAATCGGTTCAAATTTTTTTACTGAAGAGCTTATTATTTTAATAGATGGTGCGCCAAGTTTACCGTGGTTTAAATAACTTTTAGGGTTTGGGGGGTAGGTGGG